TTTTTGTAAAAATTGTTTTTGTTTAAAGTTCAAAAATACAAATTAAATATTTTTCAAAAAAATTAATAAAATGTAATTAAAATATACTCCCTCTATCGGATATATATTCAAGTATTTATTTTTATAAATATATAATAAAAATTAAAATAATTAAAATATTTTGATATTTTAAACCAAGATTATATAAGAAATGAAAAATTTATGTTTTTTCAACCAATAAATTTAATGCCTAAATTTTATTTTAGGATCTATAAGATACAACTAAAAACTGATATAGAAAATGATGTCGATATAATTGACATAAATAAGACACATTTTAAATAATTCAGTAATCCATGGGAGCGAATGCATGTGGACTTTTTTGATTGAGAAATCAAATCAATTTTTTTATATAAAAGTATAAGTAATATTATGGGCAAGACCTTTTTTTAAAAATATATCCGGGCAAAGCCGGGTTTAAAAATTTTTTTTCTTAAAAAAAAACTCTTGCCGGCCCTAAAAAATATCTTAAAAAAAATACTTTAAGCCTGGTCATATATTTTAAAACCAAAATTTTAAAAGAAATTTAATATATAAATCCGGGCTGTGCAGAAATTTTTTTTTAAAATATCATCCCGGCCGGGTCTGAAAATATAAAACCGGACCATGCCGAAAAAAAAATCTGGCTGCAGGTCTCTGATAAAAATAAAATACATTAAATAACGCTTCATTCTGTCAAATAGAACTGAGACTACAAGTTCTCAAAAAATATGAATATATTTATATATTAAAATTGTAATTTGAATTAGAGATCTGCAAAGTTAGGCCCGGCCCGTACGGGCTTCGGGCCGGGCTCGGGCCTAATTCTATTTAAAATAATCGGGTTCGGGCCTAATATTTTTATAAAAAATTAGGGCCGGTTCGGGTCGGACCTTGGAAATTTTTTTAAATATATCTAAATTTATCAATTTTATATTGAATTATTTATGTAAAATAAAAATATTTGATTTTATTTATTGAAACTAAACGACATATAATAACATATATCTTTTATTTTGAGTATTTATAAAAATTAATTTCCATATTTAAATAAATTCGGGCCGGGCCCGGTTTGAAAAATTAGGCCCGATGCAGATCACTAATTTCAATTTTTGTTTTAAAAAATTAAATTCTTTAGATTCTGATATAAGGGCTCTTATTTTATCACCTATATTTAAAAAAAAAGTTAGATAACGATTGATAAAAAACAATTTTTTTAATTTAGAATATTTTTTTTTCTCAGCTGTATCTACCTGGTAAGAATTTGCATTTTTTGGAAATGAAGAGACGCATGTGAACTCCCAAATTAATGATATACCTAAGACCAAGAAAGAATTTAAACCATCTGGTTTTAGGCTACCATCTGCTCATAAATTAGTAGGGATGTTTGGTATTTTTTATCGCGAATATATAACGAATACTATTCAACGAAATCGATATCGCGAATTTTTTATAAGGAAACCCTTATAGTGAGCCCTTTAAAGCGAATACATTTCAGCGAAATTTACGCGAATCAATAATCGCGAATATATTATCTCCATAGATAGTTGCTAATAGTAACTATTTAATTTTGAAGCATTTATTTTAAGACCATATAAATTAGCTAATATTTTTGAAAATAGTTTGAAAAATTGTTTCAAATGAAAGAGTTTTTAATTTTCTTTTAACCTTAATAAATTTATATAACGATTACTTAACTTAGAATGGGTTTACAAAATTATTATTGGAATGTCATTTTTTATGGCTTTCTTCATGACTTACCTTTATGGCTTTCTTCATGACTTACCAAGGACTTAGAGTGATGATTTAGCATTCATTTTTTAGTAGTTTCATTTGATAATCTTACCTACATAGAACTCTTATGTTAAAAAATATATACTGTTTCCTAGGATATGAATCTACTCCGTAAAATATGTAAACACATTTTGCCCGGTGTCCAGATAAGGAAGCTAGTACGCAAGGCTACAATAATTTTTACCCAAGTGCCCGCCTTAGACCGTTAAAAGTTTTTTTTTGCCCGGCGATTTTCCTGCACATTTTTTGTGTCTTATTTTCAATCAATTAAGATAATATATCTCTCTTCTATGGCTATCTTCTAAAAACCACTGTTTTGATGTCAGTAATGTGAATTTGTTATTGGATCATAATACATAACTTACTTGTTTAATACTATATTATTAATTGATTTAGTATTTTGGTTAGATAGCTCTTAAAGTACAAAAATATAACATATTGTAATTTATTTTCCAATAATAAATCAAAATATTAGCCTGAAATTCAAAAAAATATATCAAAATTTTAATGCCCGAGTGGCCTATTAAAATTTTATGAAAACTCAGAGAGAGATCTCTGCCTAATTTATTTAGCCCGGCCTTACCCTAATTTTTTTTCTCAAATAGCTATGTTTAAAATTTTTCTATGCACGTTTTTCTGGCCCGTTATAATTTTTTTAAAAAATTTTCCGGTATGACACATGGGCTGGGCCTTTTAAATTTCTATTAGGAATATCTCTATTATTTTGATCTGGAACATTTTCTATTTATTGTTTGAATTTAGTGTTTGTCCTTGTGATTGATGTTATTTCTAACATATTTATTAGCGGGTCATATTATTTATATACTTATTTTCAAAAAAATTCTCATTTGTATTAATTCAATTTTATTAAAAATAAATGAGTAAAAGCGCTTACAAAATGAGCAGAAATGCTTAGTGATACCTTTTGACATTAAAAAATGAAATAATTCATTGGAAATCAAATGATTTATTATCATAATTTTCTTAATCCTCTTTTTCTTCAGAGACTACATAACACGTTTAGTTTCTTGGGGTTTTAATACAGGAATAACAATTTTCTAAATAAATACGAGATTTTAAAAAAATGAGAATTATTTTTAGTATTTTAATGAAAAATCCTTTAAAAGTGTCAACTACGAAAATTTAGAAAAAATTTAAAAAATTAAAAATTTACTCGCAAAATCACCTATGATTTTTGAAAATAATCTGAGTAAATCAGTAAAAATTTTTTTCAATATTTTTAATCTTGATCAAGTAATGTAAAAATTCTAAGCATTTCAAAATATTTTATAAAATTTACTTTTCGTTTATTAAATCTATGTTGTGGGGGGGATTTATTGGGGTATAATCTGAATCCAACTGTCCTTACCATACTGACAACCAAGAGTGAGAGAGACCCGAAAATGGCTAATTTATTTTATCGCATTAGATAAAAGTCACATGCTTACTTAATAGACGATACTTCAAAAGATCCTAAAAACACTTTACGTTTATCTTTTTAAGTAGCTTACTTTTAATAAATGCATTATTTGGAGTTTCGTGATAATGTGCTCGCGATAATGACTCAGCGTAAATACATTTTCGATAAAAGATTCGCAATAAAGGGTTCGCGATAAAAATTTTGTTATAATTGGTTCGCGATAGAAGTTTCACTAAAATGTATTCTCTCTAAAATATTTGCTCTTAAAGGTTATACCTATAATTCGACACTTCTCTAATATAAGACCTCCTATTAAAGCTAATAAAACGAAAAACCATAATCTCTGGTTGCTTGCGACCTACACTTATTTAAATAAATGTAGGCTATCAATTTCTATCTAAAATATGTGGGAACTTCACGAGGCCCATTTAATTATTTGCCCATTTGATTTGATTTAATATTTTGATTTGAAAAATATTAAGATATCTATTTTTATTCACAAACCGCTAAAATAAAATCTTGAAGATAAGAAAAATTGAGAATGTTTAAGAATTTCCATCATATTTTGCCAAATTCCAAATTTTTTTTCCGTAAAATCACATTAAAAAATATTTAAAAAGTTCATCCTGTTTTTTAAATTAGCTTCAATTTTTGATAATTTCAAAGAATTTTGCCAAAATTTTAGACGAAAAATAATCTTCAATTTCCATTTGAAAAGTTATTTTTTCTACTTTGCCTAAACGAGGAATTTGTTTATTTCTTTAAAAAAACCAATGATTTCAGTTAAAGAAAATTATTCTCAATACCCTGTTTTAGAGAATTATATGAAAAGTATGTAAAGTGAAATTGAAATATGTCTTTTTGACTTTGAAATCGACATTTAGAATGCTTATTTGAGTATGTAATAAAAAAATTGCATTATGATTATAATATATAATTACTAGTCATGTAAAATAACGTCAAAAAGTAACATCGTTACTATTTTTTAAAAAAAAGGAAAGCCACTCGTTAACTCTACCTGTGACTTGTTTCCTTTTTTGAGTAACGGAAATGCAAAACGTTATTCTTTACTTCAAATTTTTTTAATAAATATGGAAATAACATATTTAATTGTATTATAAAATTAATTTTATAAATCCTTTAAATTTTCACCAAATTCCTTCATTTTTATTTTTAAATTTCGTTGTTAAATTTTCAGTCAAGATTGTGAACTATCGTGAAAACAATGAATAATTTTTTTATATCCTTGTAATTAATATCCAATGATAATATCATTGTTAATATCGTCATTTTATATATGTTTTACAAATCAATATAAATACATCAATTAATACAGCTCTAAAAAATTGAAGAAACAAAAGATTTATGGATGTGATATTATCCTTTATAATGTAAAGAATTTCTTCATATTCCTAATTAAAATTAATTTTATATAAGTAGCATATTTATTTAATAATAATAAAAAATCATAGCTTCCACTAAATTTTAAAGCAATATATATACCGCTGATTATAGTCTATTCCTTGGTATATAATTAGCTGCATCCTCAGTTATTTGCTTAAATTTTAAACTTTAAAATATATTGCTTACTTAAAAAATTACCTATCAATAAGAATTCATTCAGTTAAACTATTACCATGTAATACAGTTAGGCATATTATTATAAATTTATTATAGCCTCTCATCTCAACTACAACTAAATAACTTATTTTTGTAGTAAAGCTATTTATTGCCGAAGAAACGTTAAAGATAAATTTAATTTAAATACTAACATCATTCATTCATATTTAAAAACACCTTTATCATCTGTTCACATACAGGTAAAAATATTCAAATATATTATAAATTTTAATCATAAAGTGGAGTAATATATTTATTATAAAATAAAAATTTATAAATATTTTCTTATATAAAAAAAAATTATACACCACCCTTATAATCACTGGCTAGATTTAAAATTAAACTAATAACATATTATTTTTAAAAGACAGATATTTTTGAAAATAATATTCCAAGTTAATTTTCCAATGAGAGGGATGAGGCATAAGCTAAGGATGAGTGTGAAATATTTTAAATGATAAGCCTAATTAATTTGAATACCAAACTGACATAAGCTAGAAGTTGAAGTAGAACTATTTTGGGGTTGGATATATATTAAATTTAATAATTAAATATTTTTGATATCAATTGGAGACATGCACAGATTTCCAAGCCCAGCATGGTTTAAGATTTTATTTTTGATTTTCTGAGCTTTGTTTTAGACTTGGTTTCGATTTTTTAAATTACCATTTTTTGGTTTAGAGTTTTAAGATTTGGAAATTTAAAATTATTTTAATCCCATTATGCCAATTTTTAGGCTTGGATTGTATTGATTTGTTTCATTTTAGAATGGATTATGGTCTCTAATTAATATAAGATATATAATATTTAAAACTTTCCAAATCATTAGTATAAAGACTTTCTTATAACTAGAATAAAATGGGAAGGGGGTAAATGAATGTAAAAGGTGGAGAGGTATGCTAATTTTGATTCCCTTTTTAGCTAATTTTGATTTTATATTTAAATTTCCTTATTTTTGTTGAGGTAGCTTAGGAGGGGGCAAACCTAATTTGAAATTATAATCAATCCAAATAGAAGCAAATTAAATAATTAAAAAAATTCTATAAAAATTTTAACTAAATTTTATTATATTTAATTATTTTTAAATTTATGTGAAATAGTGGAATGCGTATTGATTTTTTTTTCTTAATTTCCTTGCACCATTTTAAAATCATTATTTTACAAAATTTTACATATTCTTTTGATAAATTATTATATAAAAATTGAAATGACTCTGAACTGATGAATAAATTGATGATCAAGTTGACAAAAACTCCTCAAAAGGCCCTTTGGGAACACTTTAATATATTAATAGATATTGAAATGGCTGTTTGAGTGAGTATATTGTAAAATATAAAGGAAGACCAATACTTTATCTTATCAATCAATTGCATCACACCTGATTAAAGGGTTGCCTTAAAATTGATCTAAAAAAGGCAAAATTATCAAGCTTTTTTTATCTATAAAAACTAATTCTGAAAACTTTAAATTTTATATGAATAATAATAATGCAGTAAAATAATTGTAAATTCAAAGGTTCAAAAAATCTTCTTAAAGATTTTATAATTATAATTCAAAAGAGAATTATATCCAAAAACTCCATCGATCTTTCTGGATAACATTAACAGCCCACATATCATTGAGAATTTAAAATAACATAATAGCACGGGAAAAGTTTATAAAAAATTCTGTCAATATATTTTCTTATAAATTTCATATATTATTTTAAAAAAAGAAAGGTGAAAGAAAAAAGAAAATTATTCATAATAAATGCGAATAATACACCATTCATATTCGTCTTTGTATAGGCAAAAGAGGGTGTAATATCATTATTTTTTTAGAGGGAAAATCAAAACATATGGTTATCTCCTATGAAATAATTTGAAAAAACAATTTTATAATTACAAACTAATTTTTTGATTAATCAAGGCATCTTTTTTGTATTTTATTTTGTCAATTTTTTAAAAAATATGTCACACTAAGGAACTTTAAAGGTTACCATTTTTTCCCCAGTTTTGGGATTTTTTTTAGTCTTTTTAGGATGTATTTAAATAGGGGTGTACCGTTACCACTTTTTGGAGACCGATCTGATCCGATATTCCCGATCAGATATCATATCTAATTTTGTATTCTGTAAAGATACCAATGATTTTAATTTTTACTATACTTTTTATTAGTATAATATAACCTAACTATACCATAATTTATGTCATTTAAATATATTATAATGATCAGTTATAGTTTGTATTCAATTCAATTGCAATTCTAACAGTATATAAAATATTTTTATTTTTAAATTACTTTTATATAATAAGTAATAACATTAATCTATATACATAATAAATAACAAACAAATATATTATGAAATATGTAAAAAATATTTAAAATAATATTTAACATTAATATATCGAAGATTTCTTTTTAGAAATACCCAAATTTCCAATTTATCAGAGGTCAGTCTACGACGATGTCAACTATCAATATCACCAGCTTCACTAAAAACAGATTCGGAAGAGATTATCGCACACTTTTATAAACAGAATGCGCAAAAAAATTAACAATATGGCAGAATATTTAATAATTATTTATTATTATTAAAAAAATAAACATAAAAATGGATTTCTATTTATTTATAAAAATAAATGATCTTAGATATAACCTTTTTTTAAAATTTTATAACATTTTATTTTGGTTAAAAACGCCATTTTTTATCGCATCGGAAAATTTTATAAAATTGGCCGATAGATATTTTAAAATGGGTATAATATCGGCCTGATCCGATAAAAAATATCCATCCCTATATTTAAATATCAATTTAAAGGGCAATTTTTTTTTAATATTTAAATCAGAATTTTTTATAGATTTAAATTATACTTTTTTTAAGTTTAATTCCTATTTTTTAAAGGTGGGATTTCATATGACCAAACATAATAGTTGGATATGATCTTACCTAGTGATTGAATATTAAAAATTCAAATAATATGTTGAAACATAACTCTTTTGCGAGATATTCTATCGCTCCTCCCAGCCCACCAAGCTTGAATTTTATTGAAGTACCTTTTTATTCCTAAGATTGTGTATGCGCAACGAACCTCAGGAATCTTTCAATATGGCGTTATTCTCATCACGTACTCTTAAGATCGGGGGTCTAACGTAACAGATACTCATTCTTAAATTTATGGATCTATCATGATTACACGTTTGGACTAATGATCCATCCATTAAGATAGATTAAAAATGGGTCTTATTTCCTTTAAATAAAATTAGGATGTTGTTTAGTAAATTACTATACAATGTTTAACTTTGCACTGACCCTTACCAAACACTTGTCAATTCAGGTCACCTTCTACATTTGCAAACGAGGTATTCCTGCAAGTGCAATGGCACTATAGCCCGGGTCTTAAAGTATTTCAGCATCTCTTCAAGAGCCTTACGGACTTTAAGACAGACACCTAGATGGAGCTGCCAAGATCACCTGTAGGAAAGTTGATTAAACTGGGATATTTCTTGCATCGAGCCTATTGTCAGTGGCCCCTAAGCTGGGTGAATTATCCAAATATTGAAGAACCTCGATTTCGCCAATTTTTAAAAAAACGGCCAAATCGAAATCTTAATCAAAAAAATATTATCTAAGAATCGACATTTTGCTAAAAAAAACCAAACCTTTCTGCTATCCTTTGGCCAAATCTCGAGGTTTAGGAAATATTTGATTTTTAAAAAATCGGTGAAATCGAGATTTTTAACAAAATTAATTCCTATCCATAATTGCGACGACATTAAAAATGTTTGACTCTCATGCTCTGGCTTTTTTAAAAATGAGTTATGGTAACATAATTTCCAGGGTTCCCAGGGATACTCTCTCTGACCTAAGATGACCCTAAAATTTATACAAATTATCTAAGCTTCATATACAATGAATATCCTTAAATGAAAAATAAGCAAGCCTCTAACGCTGATGCGTAATTCTCAAAATTTGATGCGAATATTTAGATCTAATTTTATAAAAAAAAAATCATAATATATTTATAGAAATTATATGCGGACTTGCTGCTTTCTAAATACATCGTTTAAATTATTCATATGTCGCAGCTAATTTTGATCAGAAATGTATTCAAGCATGTGGAGAGTATTCTTTTGCTCCAAACTTTTGAACTAGTCTTAATTTATGTTAATTTGAATATATGATTTTTTCATATTAAAGAGAAAAAAAACTCAAAAGTTCATAAGAAAATTGTCTGAAATTTATGGGGTATGGTAATCTATACACGTGTTGGAACACAGTTACCGTCAAATCAAGTTGTTTAAAATGTAAGATAACCTTCATTTAAATGATTTAAAATTAAAAGATTCTGAATCCCTCGTTGGTTCCATATTCCAATACTACATATATACTGAAAATTTATTTACATGTGATTTTACCCATTTTTCTTTATTTTCGAATCTATTAAAAGTGAATCGTTGATTGTTTTCCTCTTATATATCATATCATATCATATCATATACAATATAATATATATTGTAAAATTTAAATATATTAATATTGTGCCATAAATTTACTATAATATTGTTTTTTTTAAAAAAAAATAAATATAATATGGGTTATATTATTTCCAAATTAATATATAAAAATTTATAACGCCATCTTGTGAACTAGTATATTTAATACAAATTTTTTTTTATTAGGATCCATCATATTATTAAATACAATGAAAAGAGAATAATTAGAGAAGCTAAAATATTGCAAAAGTCCTAATAATCTTAACCAAGATGAAGGATATTTTATCCCTTTGTCTTGGCATCCATTTTACTCAATATTTTATTTAGAGCCTAATAATGTTTCTTTATGTTAAATCTATAGTTTGTTACTTTGTTTTTCTAACTTTATTACTTAATTAATTATATATGTTAGCAGCAATGCGTTATTTTTTCAACTTAGAATCTTTTTTTGAGCACGTTTTTTTAAATTTAGGAATTTGATTTTACCAGCAATGTATTCCATTATGTTTTAAATAACAACCCTATGAATTTCTAACAATTTTGCCATGAACTTTTCAACTTAATTTAATTTATATTCGTTGTTCTACAGATTTTTTATATAAATGATAAATGACTCAAGGGTTAGCGGTAAATTTGCCTACAATTCATAAGATAGGTATTCTAAGCATGCTGGAATGAATATATTTCCAGAAAAATCAGATTTAAAAGAAATAAAAACAAGATC